TGTACCCGTGCCTAACATGCTCATCTGTCCACGCTCGCTTGCGTGTGCGTCATTGGTGTCCAGTGCATTGATGCCGAGCGCGAGGCCACCGCCGAACGCTGCGGCAAGTGCGAGAAGGCCATCCTCCAGGGCCGCGTCCTGTCGTACCGGAACATGCGCCTGCATGCGGAGTGCTTCACCTGCTGCCTGAAGGCCTGTGGCCGGCAGCTGACCGGTGTGCCCTTCGTGGAGATGCCCGCCGCGCCGGTGGGCCAGACCAACTCCACGGCGGTCAATGCCCTGGAGGTGAAGCGGGACAAGGCGCGCCCGGTGTGGGCCGTCTGTGACACCTGCGCCAAGGCGGGCAAGCACCTGCGCAGCACCGGGATCGAGCCTGGCTCTGGCACTCGCCCGCCGCCGGGCTGGGCTGGTAACGGTCGCCGGGCGCCGGCTTCGCCGGCCGGTGTGTTCGCCACCGCGGCCGCGGCCGCTCCTGGCGCCACCTCTCGCGGAGCCAGCCCCCCGGAGACGCCGACCACCCCGGCCCCGAGCAGCGCCACCACCGGTGCTTCGGCCGCCTCCCCCGCCGCCGAGGATGACACCGGCATCGACACTTCGTCCAACTTCCGTCCTGGTGCCATTCGCCCGGATTACGGCACCTCGGATGACGCTGCCCCGAGCGCCCCGCTGGCCAAGCCCAAGGCCAGTGTGCAGATTGTGACGGCGCGCCCGCTGCCGGACCTGTCGGAGGAGGAGCGCGCCGCTCGCAAGGAGGCCGGCGATGCGGCGGCCGTGGTCGAGGAGGCCGAGCGTGCCGCGCGCGAGAAGCTCGAGGCCGTGGAGATCGACAATCGGTCGAACTTCCGCCCGTCCTTCGTCCGCCCGGACTACGGCGAGTCGGAGGATGTCCCGGCCACCCCGAAGACCCCGGCCGGGCCTGAGTCCCCCCGGCCCAATGCCACGGTTCCCTCCTTCAACAACTCCGCCAGCGCCGGGGTTGGTTTCCGCGGGTTCAACTCCCCCTCGCGGGTGGCCGTGTTCGGGTCCCTCGGCGGGGCCAACAACTGTGCCTCTCTCGAGTGTGGCAAGGCCGTGTACATGAGCGAGCGTGCTCCCGGTCCCTCGGGCACGGTCTGGCACAAGCGGTGCCTGGTGTGCGGGTCGGGTGGTCCCCGTGGCCCGGTGCCGGTGCCGGCCGAGGGCGAGCCGGCTCCCGAGCCGGACACCGCTCCGCGCGGCTGCAACAAGCCCCTCGACAGCAACTGCATCATCCGCGATGGTCGCCCCTGGTGCCGTACTTGCATCCTGAAGCAGTAGTGGCCAGGGCTCGTGTTGCGTTCCAAGTGTCGAAGAGGGTGGCCGGCTGTTTTCCTTTTTCACACACGGAGAAGCCCGCACGGCCAGGCCAGGGGGCGGAGCGCTCTCCCGTGGAGGCTCTCTTCATCATCAGGCGCCTGGGCAAGCCCAGGTGTGTGTACGTGCGCGCGCGCGCACCGAAGCACGTCTCCTCGAGGTTCTTTCGGCGCTCCCCCCCGCCCCGCCCTTTGTGCTCTTTCCTCTCTCCCTCCGCCTACTTCCTCGCTTGTCCCCCTCCCTGCTCCCTTTTGCCGGGGGTGCAAGTGTGTCTGTTGGCCATACTCTCCCCGGGGTGGGCAAATGGACATCACCTCGGTTGTGGGCGGGAGAGGAGAGGGTCATGTCCCTCCCCGGCATGGGCGCATGTGAATATATCCTTGCAATAACGTGTGTCCCCCTTTGTCCTTCTCTCTCTCTCTCTCTCTCTTCTCGCGGCCGGTACATATTCGCGAGCATACCTGAGCAGGGGAGATTGGAGCGGGATCGGCGCAGCGGTGAGGGGCAGGAGTGGCAGCGAGCCCAGGGGGGAGTTGGGCCGGGGGGGGGGGGGGGTCACGGAAACTCGCGGCAAGGATGAACACACACACACACACACACACCCGAGGGGGTACTTCGGTGTGTGCTTCGGTCTTGGCTTCCTTCCCCAAACGCAGGAGAGCCAACGGACCCGGCTTATGGGGCCCGCACCGTGGGAAGTATTTCGTATCACATGGGTGCCGGGCCTATTTCAGATGCCCTCTCATTGTCGCGCCCGGGTGTCCCCCCATGTTCTTGTACCCGCTCAGAGGCTGCTTGGGGGTGGAGGGGGCGGGAGCGGGGGGGGGGGGGACGCTTTCCCAGCCGCGTCTCCAGGGCAGGTTTGGATGAAGCGTGTCCTGGAGGCCGGGGCGCGCACCATATGGGACCAGGTCGTAGGGAGGTCGGGCAGGGGTGCCGGGGCGCGCCGTCCGAGGCACGGCCAGCTGTCCGAGCCCTGCGCTGCGGGGGGAGATCTCTTTGGCCGGCTTTTTTCATCCGGGCGCCCCCAGGGCGGGGATGCCACTCCTCCGGAGGGTGTACAAGCGCCAGGGAGGATTGGGGCTGGCCTGTGGTGTGCGAGGGCCATGCTTCTTGTCCCGGACAAGGGGGCACCACCGGCCACCGAGCGGCGTCATTGCTAACAGCGCTGGCGGCGGCGTTGATCATAACAATGGCTGTTGCAGCTTGCCGGGGGCCTATTCATCGGACCCAGGGCCGGGGAACTCGGCCAGGCTCGTCAAGGATCCCGAGCCAGGCCCTGCCTCTCCTCCCCCCGCCCGTACTAGCCTTCTTCTCCTCCCCTGCCCTCCCTGTCCTCTGTGTCCTCTCTGTTCGGTCCATCCCCCCTTCGTCCCCCTCCCTGCGATGCTGAACGTCCACATTGCCCTCTCGCCGACCAGCCCGGCCTCGCCGGCCTCCCTGGGCGACATCCTGCTGGATTTCTCTCTTGTGGTACGTGCATCACCTCCTTGCCTCCTCCGCCTCCTCCGCCTCCTCATCTTTCTCTCTCCCCCCCCCCCTCCCCCTCCCTTATCCTTGATCTCGTGAAATTTGCACCGCGTTGACACACCCATGCGTGCTTCAAGACCAACCTGCCGGAGTTCTATCTGAAGAGCATTTCGTGCACCCGCTCTGTGGCCTCGGTCAAGTCCCTGGAGAATGCTCTCCATCTGGACTTCGCCATCGGCGGGCGCGGCATGCTCCCGGCGCTTGGTCTCGATGCCAGCCAGACGGCCAGCTCATCGGGAGCAGGGTCCCCGACGATGGCCAGTTCGGGCGCCGGTCGGGGCTCCGAGCACACGGTCAGCTATGGCGATCCCCTGCCGGCGGATGCCGGGCCGGCTAGCCCTGGCAGTCCCGGGGGCGGGCTGACCGCGCGTCTGGTCCGCATGGCCCGGTCGGATGTACCCGCGGCGGCGGTCCGTTGCCTCCAAGCCTCGACCCCGGCCATCGTTGCCGAGGTGTCGCGCTGGTTCGGCCAACTGGTGGCTCATCCCCAACTCAACCGGTCTCCCTATGTGGTGGCCTTTTTTGTAGCCGGGCCAGTGGCGGCCCCCGAGCGACTGCCCACCGGGCCGGACCCCTCGCTAGACCCCTCCCTTGGGCAGAAGGTTCGCGGCTTGCTGCGGGAAAAGTCTTCCCTGCTGAGCCTGGGCTTCGGGTCAGGCCCCAGCCCGGCTGAGCAGGTTGGCGCCCTGCCGGTTAGTGCATTGATCGATGTCAATGCCCTGGAAGGGACATCCGCCGGAGCCCGCGCCGCCTACGACACCTGGCGCCATGTTTCGGCTTGCGCCGCGCGCCTCACCCAGGCTGAGCATGGTGCGTGCCAGAGGCCCCCCCCCTCCCCCTCGCCTGACCTGCCTCAAGCTGTTCTGACGTCTGACCGGGCCATATGCTTTCCGCCTGTCTCCCGCCACTGACATCACCTCCCCCCCTCTCCCCCCTTCCTCCCCAGAGCAAGCTGCTGTGAGGGAGAAGCTGTTTCACTCGCTCAAGGCGGTGGCTGACGCCGAGACCTCGGCCGTCCTGAAAGCGTGCGTCCCTCACCTGGCGTCCACCGCGACGGCTCTTCTTCCTTCCTCCCCCTGTTGCCCTTCCCCCATTGACTTCTGGACTTGGGGTCACTTTCTCCGGCCTCCCGGCGCAGGCTTGCTCATGGCCTTGCCGACTTCATCGCACCTCCGGGCGGCGATCAGGAGGACTCGGGCAGCATTTCCATGATCTCCCCGGCGGACATCTCCTCCAGCGATCTCACTGTTCCGAGTCAGCCAGCCGGTGGGGAGCCTGCTACGGCCGGAACACGCTACATTTTCGCCGCGCTCAATGGTCACCGGTACCGGAATGCCGCGGTACGATGGCGGGCCCCGGCCGTCTGTTGTTGCCCTTCCCTGCATGCTGCATGTCCTCTGGGTCTGCTTCTTCTCCTTACGATGTCTTTCCCCCTCCCGCTTCCTTGGCCCAGCTGGCAATCAACTTCTTTTCATCGCACTTCGTCAAGGCCTACGATGAGGCTGTCGCCACCCATGCCAAGCGTCGGGGGGTCTCCAACAGCCCGGCGTATGGGTCTGGTGGCCAGCAGGAATTGTTTGCCTCGGTGGCTCTGGACATGGCCGCCGAGAATCAGCAGGCCGCAGCCGACACCCTGAAGAAGGCCCATGCCGAGCTTCTGTGGGATCTGGGTCTGGGCGAAATGCAGCCCCCGTTGAAGGAGGCCACGAAGGAGGCTTCGCTGCCAGCCACGCCGGACGTGGCCGATGCCGGGGTCCTTGCCACCCTGCACGAGGAGGATCCCAGCCAGGCCGGCGCCCAGGAGCCCCCCTCCGAGCAGGCCAAGGACCAGCCCCATCCTTCGGACATGTCTGCCGATGACACGCTGCCGCGGTTTGCCCTGGACACACGTGCTTCGTTGGATGCACTGCGGGCTTACGCCCGGGCTGAGCTGGCCTCCGCCGAGGCGGCTCTCCAGCGTTGCACCGAGCTCCGGCGTGTGGTGGACCCATTCTCCTTCAGCTTCGAGTAGTGGAAACCCCTCTCCCTTGGGAGTGCCACGGTCTCGCGTGTTCGGTGTATGCGTGTGTTTGCGGGCATCCAGTCCCGCCCCCGTCCCTTCTGCCTCCCGACGGCCCACGGGGCCTCCTTCTCCCCGGTCTGTGTTTTTTCTTTCCGGTCCCCCCCCCCCCCCTGCACGTGTGTGCATGTTCCCCCGCTGTCCCGGCGTGCCAGCATCCATCAAAATAGAGGCACTCCTTCTCCACCCCCGCCCCCCCCCCTCCTCCTTTGAAAGGCGCGCGGTCCGGAGATGAGAGGTCCTCTCCTCTGGAAGGGGCGGAGCCAGCCGAGGGCATCATTGGGAACAGGTGTGCGGTGTATTTGTTTCACAGCACGGGGGACACGGCCAGGGACATAAGCGACCAGACAGGGCCTGGCCCAATGGCATGAGAGATGGCCCCGTGCGCACGAGGCGGTGGGCGGAAAAAAGGATGGTGAAATGCGGGGCGCGCGCGCGCGCGCACGCGCACACGAGAAGCACCTCTCTGTCGAGCTTTCTCCCCTGCCCAGCAGCGCGGGTGTCCAGCCGCGCATGGGCGAGGGGAGAAAGCATGAAAGGCATTCCATCCCCTCGTCCGGTCACTGAGGTCGTGCACCAGGATGGAGGTCCTTACTGGTTGGTGAACTTGGCAGGGCGCTTCTCAATGAAGGCGGCCATACCCTCCTTCTGGTCGTCCTGCGTGCGTGGAGGGGAAGAGACAGAGAGAGGGAGAGAGGGAGAGAGGGAGAGATCAAGGCAAAGGTGAGCAAGGGAAGCATGGGCATGTGCACGTGTCTGACCCCCTATGCACACATGCATGTGTGTATGCGGAGGGGGAGGAGGGCCCGCGGGGCGGATGTACGCACCAGGGAGAAGGTAGAATGGAAGAGGCGGCGCTCGTAGGCGAGGCCAGCCTCGAGGGACATCTCCTGCGAGGCGTTGACGGCCTCCTTGATGAGCTTGACCACCGGGGCGGACTGGGAGGCGATCTTGCGGGCGAGCTTCTGGGCCGCACCGAGGACCTCATCAGGCTGGAAGACCTTGCTGACCAGACCCAGAGAGCAGGCCTCGTTGGCAGTCAGGACATCGCCAGTCAGGCAGAGCTCCATGGCGCGGGACTTGCCCACGGCGCGGACCAGGCGCTGGGTGCCACCGGCACCGGGGATGGTGCCGAGGCGGACCTCCGGCTGGGCGAAGCGCGCGTCCGTGCTGGCGTAGATGATGTCGCACATCATGGCAACCTCGCAGCCGCCACCGAGGGCGTGGCCGCGAACGGCGGCGATCACCGGCTTGGAGATCTTGAAGGCATCGGTCCAGTGGGCCAGGAAGTTGACGCGCAGGGCCTCGGGGTAGGTCTGCTTGGCCATCTCCTTGATGTCGGCGCCGGCTGCGATTTCCCAAGAAAGCAAGCAAAGACAACACAGCAGGGCGAGGGGGGGGGGGGGTCAGCATCGGGCGGAGGGGGCAGGAGGCCTGGGGGCCGCATAGGAAGGGAGGGAGCGGCGGTCGTACCGGCGAAGGAGACGTTGTCACCAGTGAGGACGATAGCACGGACGGAGTCATCGGCATCGAGCATCTTGAAGGCGCGGTTCAGCTCGGTCATCATGCTCTCGCACAGGGCTGCCAGGAGTACGAATGTGGATGCGAGGCAGGGAGGACTGATGGGTGAGTGATTGTAGAGGATGGGCAGGCGCATGGGGAGAGGGGGCGCCAAGGAGCGGAACGCACCGTTGAGAGACTTCGGGCGGGCGAAGGTGACAGTGGCGGTGCCCTCGTCGCGGTCGACGGAGACCATGAGCTCGGCAAAGTTGCAGTACTCATCATCGTTGTTGGCTTGGGGTTGGGCCACGTGTCAGAGACCAGGAGTGGCATGGCAGCAGGGGGCGGGGAGGGGAAGAAAAAAAAAAAAGAAAAGAAAGAAGGGAGCAAGCGGGCGGGGGGGATGGAGCGAGGGATGCGGGTAGGTACACATGACGGAGTAGCTGGCGCGGGGGACGGCGGCGCGGAAGACACCGGCGCGCGCGGCCGAGGAGGCGGCAGTACGAGTGGCAAGAGAGAACATGGTGATCGGGGAGAGAGGGAGGGGGGGGAGAAGCAGTGCAAGCAGACAAGGGAGGCGGGCGGGACTGGCTGTCTGCCTTGGGCCCTGGCCGGGCGCATCCCCAGCCCGGCACCAGATATGTGCCAGACAGGAGGGAAAGATCGGGAAAACACCACAGCGGAGATCTAGCCCACTCTACAAGCACAGAAGGGGGGGGGGGGGGGAGAAAGTGTCTGTGTGTGTGTGGAAGGTCTGAACCAATCAGCCCGAGCACTGTGCCCGTCCTGGTCCCCGTCATCCAACCGTGTGCACGCCCCAGGAGATGTGCTGGTGGTAGTTCACCTCCAACTAGGCATATCCACCTACAAACCGAGGAGCAAGGGCCGGTCGGCGGAGAGACGCATCACAAGGGGGTGCCGCGAGTTCCCTCCCCCCCCCCCCCCCCCGAGTCAGGTTTCCGCGCCTTTTGTGTCAGCAAATATTGGAGTGGCAAGACAGACCAGCGCGATGGAGTGGGGACGCAAAGGAGGGGGAGCTGACAGAACTACCGGGGCCCATCGGACAATGGCGTTTCAGAGGCATGTGATTGTATTCTGAACATAGAGCACGACGGGCTCCACCAGCATTGCCTTGGCGATCGGGGGACAGCCTCTCCCGGAGCGAGTCCCACATCTAGGCGCGGCTGGCAAGGAGATTGGAGCAAAGGGCATGCGGGAGGGGGGGGGAGGGGGGGTCTAGTGGTACAACTCTTGGTGGGCCCCAATGGATGGCAACAGGGACGAGGGGCAGGGGAGAGGGAGGAGAAAGGAGAAGGGCCAGGGGGGGGGGAGGGAAGGGGCATGGAGGCAGAGGACACGCCTATCGGCGACCCTTGCCAATGCCAAGTGGCTAGCATGCCGGGGTTGGGTGTTGCCTGTCACACCGGCTGCCGGGGCCCGGCGATCTTGTCAACAATCATGGAGATGAATGGGAGGGACAAGACCTGTCCGGCGATCGGGATCCGCCGGAGGAAGCGAATGGCCTGGGGGGCAAAGTCGCTGGTGGCGTGGTGCCAGACCCGAGGAGAAGGGCGAAGGGGGAGAAAGCGCAGGAGGTTGGAGCGGGATGGAGTGGTTGAGTGACGGAATTGCTAATCGGGGGGGGGGGGGGGGGGGACGGGGGCAGGAGGGCAACTGGCTTGCCTGAGGGAAAGCAGTGCCCAT